AGTACCTCAGTCCTGCAGCTCAAAAGGGGCCCCAAAACAGTGCATGGAATCTACTTCAGGTACCTCGTGCAGTTACTCTGAACATTTGCCAGCCCAAGAGCAGAGCCATCTTTTGTCACATCCTTATGAATCTGCCCTCAGCTGCGTAAGAGATGCAGTTGCTATGCGCTTCGTGTGGTCATTCACAATCCTTACTCTCTGTAGGCATGCAGGCACACAAACCCAGGGCTGCATCTTTCTCATGAAGGCTGTGAACATGCAGAGCAACACACTCCCATGCCACATCTACTCCAAAGATTACAAACATTTCAAGTTTAAACCATCCTGAACATGCCAAAGAGGTAGGACTGTGCAGAGCATTTAATCTCATCAGCTGAAAATAGATTCAAATGCTGTCAAAACTATTAGTCTGCCTAAACAAAAGTATACTGAGAGTTTCAGTCATAATGCAAATGATTAGTATACTTAGTGGATTATAACAACCAGGAGAATTGTGGGGTTTAGGGTTACTAGTGATCAATCAGTCATTTCATCTGTTTTCCAGTGTACTTAAAGCCATTTCATTTCCCCTGTTCTCCACTGTCCCTCCTCAAATTGACCCCAGTATCTAGCTTTTAGTTACAACCTGTTTTCCAGGAAAGGCACTCAGTCTTCACCTGACACCATCGAATTCACTGTTTCCCTGGGGAGCTTGTTCCCGTGGTTAATCCTTCTCAGAGAGAGCTTGCTTCTTATTTATCAAGCTCCAATGCCTTTAAGTTGATACATTTTTCTCTCATAGATAAAGAACCACATAAATGTTGATACTGTCTCTCTGGTCGTGTCTGTACACCTCAGCTCACCTCTCAGGGGTCTGTTGTGCGTGTTTTCAGGATACATTATTGCATGAGTACTTTTTATTTATGTAAGTATTAGAAAGACAAGATGACAGCATGTGGTAGTCACACATATATCAATTTCTCCCTGGATCCATTCTTTAAATTAAGTGCAACTACAGGCAGTCATGTACAACTAGTCTAACATTCAGCTCAGATTCTCTGCATTTGTAGGTTTCCATAAAGAAAACTCTTTTCATAGCTTTACAAACTTTGATGCTTAACAATAATTTTCATTTACCTTTGAAGTTGAAAACTTAAGATGTCACGACATAAGAGTTTTTGTTTCAGAAAAAAAATAGTATTTTTGAGCTAACCGAAAGGTTGAACTGATTTCTACTCTTAAAAGCACAGTGACACCTAAAGGCTAAGTGTCCTTGTCTGGCTGTATTCTAGACAATACTGCAAGTCATGCAGGTGCATTTTAGCTACCTTTTAAGTGGTGGCTTAAGTACTGCTACCAGAATAGCTGTAACAGTACCAAGCTAAGTTTGGGCTGCAAATTCTGCTTGAGAACTGGGGTAAATTCAAGTAGTTAACCCATGTGGAGCTCTCTAGTTTTGTAACTATACTGTGAAATATTTAATTTGAAGTAGCTCAGTACGCAGTACACATATTCTGGTTATTTTATGTCAACCTCCTTTGACTGACTTCTGAGGCCTTACTATACTCATCTTTCATCTTCTTTTTTGCCTCAACAACTGCTTATGCAATTATGGCAAATGCGTAGGTATGTGTCTGCACTTACTGCCTCATAGTTTAGAGCTTATTAGCCCGTTTCAGACAGTTTTGCTAAGGGGAAGATGCAAAGAAAGGAAAGAGAGACTATAATGGTCTCTATACGCATCTTTACTGAAAGAACCATTGTAATGTGAACTCAGCTGTTACACAGCACAGAGTTCACACTAGGCACAGCCCTTTACAAAACCACCAAGTTAATAAATCTGGAAAACATTTTGGTTTGAGCTTAACATCTATAAAACACTAGTCTGAAAAAATAGATTTCATTAGTTCCATCCCAAGATGTGATTTTTAAAGATATTTAATTACTGTAAAGTAAACATTAAGGTCTCAAGAAATGCTTTACTATTACAGAAGATGTTTTGCAGCACATTTGTTTGCAAATAAATCCACAGTTTGTCCCATCTTTTCCATGTCATATATGAGTTGCTTTAATACTTTTCAGAATTTCATTGCAATTTGGTACAAAGACTTGAATAATTACACTGGCATTCATAAACCTATTACCATTAAACTGGATGGATTCAGCTGGTGAGTATCCGTTTGTGGGAACTACAAAAAGGAAATTGTTCCTTTCCCTTTGTTACTTCTGTCAGATTTGTGCCTCATCCCATCAGTTATTGCTTTCTTCTGCTCCTCATGGTCATTCTAACCATTACTAGAAGCAAAGAGAGCTTGAGAGAAAACAGAATCAGTGGCTCCTCCACAAGTACACACAATCATGTTTCTCTACCTGACATCTAACATTCATTATCTATTATCAGAGAGCACAGATTTATCAGCAATGCCTTCTGCAATGTTAGAGTACCAGATGTGCTGCTTTCAAGATTAAGAAACACAAAGTTAGGATAATATCACTGTCATGAAACCCTAAACTTCCAGAGATTTGGGATGCATCTGCTTAGATCTTTTCTTTCCAGTGAGCTCAATGACCAGAAGGGTTTTATACTCAAAACAACCTGCTTATATTAAAACATAGAATAGAAAGCTTTAAAATAAATTTCAAGAAGGTAGATGAGATAAAATATTGGTAAATAAAGGCTTTACGAACAAAGGCTTTGCTACCTGCATGCTGGCAGAGTAATGTCAGCCAGCTGGGTGTCTTTGTGAGTTGCAATAAACGCTATATAATTCCTTCTAGTTCATAGGATTTTATCCATTTAACCTCTGAGGTCCTTCTGCTGTTTCTTTTAGCTTGCTTTCTTTCTGACTACAGGCTTCCACTCATTTCTTGCTGCCACACCATTCTTACTTTCTGAGTATGCACAGTTACTCGCCAGTAAAGCAACACACAAACCCTCCCCCAGGTGTCCTATCTTACAGCTTTTTTAAAGGAATACTAGTGTACAGACTGAAGACACAGAAATAAAACTGGTATGGTCTATCACAGGCAACCATAACCTATTTTTAAACTTACTTATGCTTCTTTGAGCTGGCCACAAATGCATATAATTAAACCAAAAGACTTATTGTCAGTAGTAATAATCAAAATCAGTAACTGCTAGAGTATGAGGAATAAACAGAAAACTGATCAGCATTTTATGTAAAATACCCTCAAAGCCTCAAAAGACTTTGCATTTTTAGGTAAAAAAAAAAAAGTTACAAAGCATGAGATAATTCCAGGAAAAGTAAAGTGGTATTTAATGAGTTAAAATTAGTTGCACATAGGGAACTTTGTTGCTGAGATGTCCAGCACTGTTGCACCCAGCCTTCAAGTACCTGGCTCAAGAAAAGAAATTCATAGTGCCAAGTTCAGTTACTGAATTTGGTATTCAGTGCATGGGGTAGACAGTGGGAGTTAAACAAGATACATTCATGATTCCCAGAACAGATACAGATTCCAGTATCTTTGGAGAACATTGAAAATGTGGAAGCATAAAGATCCCATTATCTTTTAGTCTTGCATACTGGAATGTCAGCCTCTGGTAGGGACTGCCAACCTACTGTAGACATGTTAAAAATCTGGATGTATGCTTACATATAAGGTCTGTGATTCCCTTATAGGTAGCTACAGGTCTCAATGACAACTGTCAACTAGTTGCTTTCCCACTAAGACTGCAAGTAAGAGTGTCAATAGGACAATATAATGGAAATGCAACACAGGACATCATCGATTTCGTTACAGAGAGATTGGAAACAAATCTGATTTTTCATGCCCTTGTGCCTTATCTCTGTTGTTCCTCCTGTTTAGAAGTGTAACATGGAAACATTTAAAGTTTGTGGGAGATGAACTGCATATTATGAAACAACAGAAAATCTGGTACCACATTAATTCTAAATTACTTTTGGTACTGAAGTTATGCACCTTTTAAACTTGGGTAATTAATATATGAAAATGTACTGCGTTTCAAAGATGCCTGTCAAACAGTCCTATGAGATTAAAAAAAAATTACAACTTCTGAGTGAAAGGTGAAGGATTCAGAGGTGTTTGGGTAACACTAAAGAAGTGGGACGAGACATTCCTTTTTCCTGCTCTTTAGTCTGTAAGTGGGTCTAAATGTTCTAGTGAGAGTACCAGTTTCCTTTCTGAAGTCCTTGCTAGAATTTAAATCTGGGTGATTTAGTTCACATCCATAGCATTTGCCAGAGAGACCATTTATGCAGTTCGCTGTCAAGACTCATTCAGAGGAAAAACATTGCTATTTTTCTTTTCAGTGCCAAAGAACATTCATGAAGATCTTTCTTACACAAGAGTGAACAAAAGAGAACAGATAGGAGAAAACAAGGTAACCTTCCAGTTAAGCTTCTGGGAGGAAAGGCTGCTGTTGGGAAGTGGGCTGCCGGATATGCTAGGCTTGCCACTACATCATGACATAACACATCTGTTTTTACGAAGTCTTTCGGTACGGTATTTAGTCCCTGCAAGCAGCCCATAAAATTAACAAGGTTACATCAAAACTTCCACTGCAGTAAAAATAGTAGTAGTCACATTGTATGTGAAAACACAAAACTGAAGGTAATAAAAATCTCAATTTAAACCATAAACATTTATTCTAAATCCTGTTAACGGCCATCTAACACTTGACTCCTCCTTTTTGCATACCTGGAGTTAGCAACATTTTTTGCTGACTCTCAGCAGCCTTGGCTGTTACTTGGCTGTCTCCTGGTTTGTGCACGTATTTTAGCCCAAACTCCCACGTTCCCTACACTATTTGCCACAGCTTGTAATAAATCAAGAGGTTCCTCTAGGCAATTTATAGTTAGACCGTGACTAACGCTTGCTTTCTCCGGGTACTGATGAGCGCCGATACCACTCGCCGTCAGAGATAGCGCCATTAGCGGCCCTCCACCGGCGCCCGGCAGCAGCAGCCCGCCGCGGCCACCACGCCCCGCCCCGCCGGGCCGTCACCAAGCAACAGCCACTCCCTCAAGCTCGCAACTGCCGGCCTTGCCTCTCCGCCATGTTGGCGCAGCCAGCGCTTAGCCGTCACCCGGCGCTCTCCTTTTCGCCGCCTCAGCACTGCCCCGTCAGTAGGCGGGGCGGTGCCGGCCGCCTCTACTTCCGAAGCGGCGGCAGGCGGTAGGTGGTGGTGGCGGGCGGCTTAGAGCTGCCTGTGGGGAGGGAAGGGAATAGAAGGGGGCGGGCGGTGGGGCTGTGCAGCGGTGGTGTGGCAGCCCTCGGCTCGCGCCGCGGCTGGAGTGACGGGGTGACACGGCAGTTGAGGTTGCCCTCGGTGGCTGCACGAGGTACGAGCTCGGAATTAGGCCGCAGCCGGGGCTGGCGCTTGAGGGAGCCTGGGCTTGGCAGGCTTGCAGGCTGCTGGCCGTCACAGGACTGGGTGGAAAGCTTTGGTCTCCTGAGAGTCAGACGAGTATCGGAGGCAACTCTTACTGTCAAAGTAGAACACCTAACAAGAGGAAAAGGAGTGATACTTAACAAAAGCTATAAGCGGGTTTCACTCTTCTCACACCTGAATCTAGTTTTTGTTTTAACTTGAAAGCACATCGACGGTATGCTTCTTCGACTTCTTTTGTTAAGTGATGCAGACTCCTGCAGCAGTAGTTAGAATCATGTTTCTTTAGAAATAAACATTAATTCTGGTTTCCAAATAGCTACTGTATCATCCTCCAAAAGTATTTAGTTTCTTTGGTTGCCTCTTTCGGGCAGCCTGAATCTATGCCAGCTTCTCTCCAAGATTCATTTAAAACCGCTGACTGTGTTTCCTCCTATGGAGACTTAAACAGCATTTTTAACCTGGGTTAGAGACAAATGTGGGCTGCAGATCAGTTTATCAAAAAATGCATTAAACTTTAAGTTGGAGTGTCAGTTGAGCAGAGTCTTCAGTTTTGCTTGCGTTTTGCAGTGATACAGGAAATGGATGCCGAGCTCATGCAGTTCTACTGCGTTTAATTAGTATGAGGAGAATTAAAAAGATATGAAGGAAAATGAGCAGAACTAAAACTTGATGGAGGTCTAATTTTGTAAAGTTTGAAAAATTCATGCTTATAGTTACCATAAAGAGCATTTAAAGTTTGCCTAGATAATCTCTATATAGTAGAGCAATCTTATCTACTCAGTTTTCACTAAACTGATGGTGTTAAAGAACAAATTATTAAAACAAGGTTCTAGCCAGGAGTCGATATTGGACTGTCACCGGCAGAAACCATTTTCCCACAGGCTCAGTGCTTCCTATAGATCTAGGTGGATGTTGACTTAACAGTAATGGGAAGATGAATATGATTGTGTCAAGGAAATGAGCACATTTTGATGTCTAATTAGAGTTCAGTGATGGCTTTTTTTAAACTTGTGTTCTTCAGCTGTTAAATGTTCACGTCTCCTTAGGAAACTGGATGCTCTTGCTAATTATTTCTGAAAGTGAGATTAAACACCTCCAAATCAATATATACGAGCTTCTGGAAGAATTGATATTCTGTCCATATAATTAAGACTTGTATTGACTATTCAGGATCTGAACTCTTCATCTCTGCAGTTGTTTATAGATTTTGTCAAGCTAGATGGAACAGAGTAGATGCTATCAAGAGCAGCCTGCTTTGTCTGATGTTTTAGGATGGGGAAAACAAAGGGTTACCAGTGACCTTGAAGTCAAAGAAGAAGCGTATCGCCTTAACTATGAATAATATTGAATATTTCAAATGGTATAGCAATTTAGCTTTTATCCCACTCTCTGGATCCAAGAAAGCTTTCTGCTTTTAATTTTCAGTGTTTATAAGACTTGACTAAAGCCTTGAAATAATTCTGTACCTGAGGGTTTTGCTGCTCTGTTTTCTTGGGTGCTAGTAGCTTTCTTCTTTCCAAGCACTTCTACTGCCGTCATCCTTCTTTGTTCCCTAATGATGTGCTCCTCTCTGTTTTACTACAGAATCCCTAACTCCTGCAGTAAATATTTCTGTTTTTAAAATGTAACTGCAAAGCCAACCACATCCAGAAGTGCTTCAGTTTAACGGGTTGTTGATCTCATCTCTACATTACAACTCTTGGTCTCAAATAGCTGCTCTTCCATTGACTACATTTCCATTTAACCTTTAAGGTTCCTTCTGCCACAGTGTTCCTTTAGAGTGCTGAATCTGCTTTTGTGGTATGCATCACCTTATGTTTTGTACGGGAACAAAATATTCAGTCTTTGAGCAGCACTTGTTATCAGTGCCAACAGAACAAGTCTTGTAAATATGACTTGGAGAAATGAGATCATAAGTCTTCAAAATGAGTGGTAGAAATGTTAATTCTTCAGAGTAATACAGGAAGCAGGAGATTTTTTTAAGTTTAACAAAACCTCAGAAGATTCTGGGAAATGTAACCTTTTTTTTCTTTCTCCATTAGGACCTCATAATGGTGAGAAACAGCCTAATACATATTGAAAGCTACTAGTTTATTACACATGAAAGCTAGTCCCAGTTTGATACTTAAGACTTCCAGAATTAGTAGCAGGTTGCTTTTGTTCATTCTGGTATTTTACATCCTTTTGCCCTGGTCTTCCTAGTGCTTAATATTTTTACTCTGTGTTCTGTGGTTTGTTTTTTATTTTGTTTTGGATTTTTTTTGTTCTTTCCTCTGACAGAACTAAATAAATAGTGCTGAACAGAAATGTTCTCTATTAATTCTTAATTCAAGAAAATCACATAATTAAACTGAGCACTCCTTTTAAATAATGCAGAGCAGTTTGATGTAAAACTGAAACAGGAAGTGCTCAGAAATCTGGAATAGGGTCAAACTGTCAGTCATTCTTTTAGACCAAAGGGAAAGGATCCCTGTTTTGTGTGTGTGTGATTTTGGTTTTGTGTTTTTGTTTTTTTGGTTTGGTTTTGTGTGTGTGTGTGTGTGTGTTGTGTGTTTTGGTTTTGTTGGGTTTTTTTTGTGTGTGTGTGTGTTTTTGTGTGTGGTGTCTTTTGTTTGGTTTTTTTTGTTTGTTTTTTAATTCTGTGTGTGTCACCAATTTGGCAAGGAACTGAAAACAGTGCTCTCACCTGTTAAAGGCATATAACTATCAGCATATGGCTATAATTCATTCTGTCTCTTAATTAATTTGTGACTTCCTGACTGGGTTGTGCAGGAGCAGAAACAAATGGTATCTCTTATTTGCTGTAGGGAAGGTAAAGTGATAGCATAATTGTTCTGGGCAGCAGACATTTATCTCAGTTTCAGCTGTAAACCATTACGCTATAGAGACTCTTTAAAAGGGAACCTGTAAGTGTCCAACCCACTCTGTCTGTGATCAGTCTACTAAAGCAAGGGACAAAAAAAGATGTTCAAGCCTAGGAATCTTGTAAAATGCTCTATTTTGCTGTCAGAGGAAAAGCTCTATTAAAATGGCACTGCCTCAATTCTACAGGTCAGAAGACAATAGCTTGATTTTTCTTAGGCAAGAAAACTGAATTAAACTGTTATATTTGTCTTTTCATAGAGATTTGAACCTTTATGTTTTCAGGGCAGGAGAAGCTTGACATGGGGAAAAACATAATGAGGCTCCTCTGTACTTCAGTTTCTCTTACTGTGATTTGCTGGCTAGCTGAAGGTACTCTGTCAAAGACAGATGCAAAGAAAGGTGCTACAAAAAAACTAGAAGAAAAGGTAAGACAAATAACTGAAATGCTAATTTTATTTGGCATGTGCAGTGATCTAATTGAACTTTGGTAAATGCATTCTCATTCTGTCAAAATGGTGTTAAAAGCAATCATGCATTTCTATTGAAGCTTATGATCACAAATAAGACTTCTTGAAACTGTCCTTTCCTTCAGCTTTTATGAGTGTCTCAGATTGTTCACTCCATGAACCAGCTCCTTGGTGCAGACCTCTGGAACTTTATCCCCCATGCAAGCTGCAGAAGCAGGAAGTTTTTTGTCCCCTCTCGCATAGCTAAAGGAAACATATTTCCATCCCTTTAGAAAGTGGAGCAGGGAGTACTAGTTTGGGCCAAGAGCTCTAGATCGTTTACTGGTGAAAGAGAAGGTGATCTCAGCCTTGCTAATGGGAAGGCTGCATTCTGACAGGAAATTTTGAAGAGCCTCCTAACCAGCAGTTCCTTTGCAGATAGAAATTATTCAGAGTCTCGCAGCAATTTGAGCAAGTGGAGCCAACATGCTGAAGTCTCTCTTAACTTGCTGAGCATGTTCTTGTTTCCTGTTTCCTTCCTTTCAAAACTGCAAGAAAGCACAGCAGTGCAAGAGAATGTGTGTGTATGGAGAGGAAGTACATTTACCAGTTCATATACCAACTATGTGTACTTACTGTTGCCAAACATGTTTGGGAAAAAAAAGTAGACATGTTAAAAATTCTCTCTCTTAAATTATAAATATAGTTAATCGTTCAATATACAAATGCATCTCTCATTGCTTGTATTACTTGCTTGCTTAGTATCTACCAGGAAGAATCATAGAATAGTTAGGGTTAGAAAGTACCTTAAGATCATCTAGTTCCACCCCCCCTGCCAAGGGCACAGACACCTCACACTAAACCATATCACCCAAGGCTCTGTCCAACCGGGCCTTGAACACCGCCAGGGATGGAGTATTCACAACCGCCCTGGGCAACCCATTCCAGTGCCTCACCACCCTCACAGTAAAGAACTTCCTCCTTATATCCAATCTAAACTTCCCCTGTTTAACTTTTAACTCGTTACCACTTGTCCTGTCACTACAGTCCCAAATGAAGAGTCCCTCCCCAGCATCCTTATAGCTCCCCTTCAGATACTGGAAGGCTGCTATGAGGTCTCCACGCAGCCTTCTCTTCTTCAGGCTGAACAGCCCCAACTTTCTCAGCCTGTCTTCATACAGGAGGTGCTCCAGTCCCCTGATCGTCCTTGTGGCCCTCCTCTGCACTTGTTCCCACAGTTCCATGTCCTTTTTATGTTGAGGACAGCAGAACTACACACAGTACTCCAAGTGAGGTCTCACAGGAGCAGGGTAGAAGGGCAGGATCACCTCCTTCGACCTGCTGGTCACGCTTCTTTTTATGCAGCGCAGGATACGGTTGGGTTTCTGGGCTGCAAGCGCACACTGCTGTCTCATGTTATGTTTCTCATTGACCAACACCCCCAAGTCCTTCTGCGCAGGGCTACTCTGAATCTCTTCTCTGCCCAACCTGTAGCTGTGCCTGCGATTCCTCCGACATAGGTGTAGGACCTTGCACTTGTCATGGTTAAACTTCTTGAGGTTGGCATCAGCCCACCTCATAAGTGTGTTGAGATCCCTCTCGATGGCATTCCTTCCCTCCAGCATATCAACCAAACCACACAGCTTGGTGTCATCGGCAAACTTGCTGAGGGCACACTCAATCCCACTGTCCATGTCACTGACAAATATGTTGGAACAAAAGAAATTCTAGTCTGCAGATAGTGAGGGTAGTGCAAAGTGTTAAGTCTTATGCCTAAAGCCCGTATGCTAAACCAATAGATAGTTTCTGTGTACTCACCATGCACACTTAGGCCTTTTCTCTTTCTGTCTACTAAAACTATTTGTGCTGTTTCAGTTAAAGCAAATTTTCCTTAAATAAAGGTGTTAAGAACATTGGCCTTCAGTGACCACAGTACAGCATAATCAGTCTAAATAGATCCAGTTTTAGTATTCAAATTATTGGTTAAGAACTCCTGACCCCTTTTTGTTGCTTTGGGGGTAACATGTCAGAAAGCATTGGCTAGGGAGCAGAATGCCATCAGCTGTGGTAAATGATGTTCTTTAATCTTACAAATTCTTGTGGTTCAAACCCAGCCAGACAGCTCATTCACTCACTGCCCCCACCTTCTTGCCCTCCCCCTACTCCCAGAGGGACAGAGAGGAGAATCGAAAAGAATGCAACTCCCACGGGTTGAGATAAGAACAGTTTAGTAACTAAAGGTATAACACGAATCACTACTGCTACCACCAATAATAATAATGTTAAAGGAAATAAGGGAAGAGAATACAACACCTCAGCACCCGCCAACCGATAACTCGCCCCACCCCAGCCTAACTAAGCACTGACCGATACCTTCTCCAACCCTGCAGTCTCCTAGCCCTTCCAGGTAACTCTCAGTTACATCCTGGGCATGACGTGCTGTGGTATGGAATACCTCTTTGGTTAGTTTGGGTCAGGTGTCCTGTCTCTGCTTCCTCCTAGTTTCCCCTCCTCCCTGGAAGAGCATGAATCCTTGGCCAGACCATCAGTGTTATCAGCTCTGTTCCCAGTCTAAAAGTCAAAACACAGCACTGCACCAGCTACCAAGAAGGAGAAAAATGACTGCTACTGCTGAAACCACGACAATTCTTGACTATTATTTTTTAATTTGTGTGCTTTTTGCTTTGCAGACAAAGTTTACTGCTGATGACAGATCATGTCTGAGCACTGTTTCAGTTTTAAGTCAAACTGCTCTACATTGTTTAAAAGGAGTGTTTAGGGTTTAATGATGTGATTTTCTTATTTTATTTTTTCTTTAAGTTTGTTGCTATTGAATGTTGCGCTTATATGTAGCTGATTGTAAACGCTGTCTTCTCCCCCCAGATACTGCATTCTGATAAAAATGTGCAGGACAGGGGACTGGTAGTTGTGGATCTAAAGGCAAAAGATATTATACTGGAACACAGGAGCTATTGCTTCAAGAAGATGAGAGAAAGACATTTCTCGGGAGATGTTCTGGGTTATATTACTCCTGTAAGTTAGCAAAATGAATAAAACTGTGCTTTGAATGAATATGCAGGACACTGTGCTAATTTGCAGTCTTGCATCTCTGCTTTAAAAGCATTTTTACAATAATGGAAACTTCTGGTCAAATGCAGTCAAATAGAGCATTATTCAGGTGCTTGTTCTCCTACCCATCTCTTGGAGGATGTCTAAGTCATACTGGGTTTTTTTCTTCGCTGGTACAACAGAGATGATAGTATTCTTATGTCCTCAATGAGGCGTGTGAAGTTGCAGTAAAGTCAGAACAAGAGGACTACTAAGTGTCCTCATAACACATAGCTACCAATTTGAACCTTCTAAATAAACAGTAAAAAATTTATATTGCTGTCATACAGATCTCTTTTGCTGTCCAGTCTTGCTGTTATTCAGATGAGCTTTTCTTGAATAATTAATGCTGCTTTCTTTTGTTTAGAGGATGCATTTCATTGTATCAGTCTTACACAGCTCAAAAAAGAAGTAGGTGCCTTATAAATTTTCACCTTTGTCAAGTTCTCTTGAGCATAAATGTAGTCTGTAAATTTGAAACTGTGTTGGAATTTACATTCAGATTTCTGTAGTGCAGGGGAATTTTCACAATCGGAAGATCGCCTTTCATGTAGCTATCAGTTTCCAGAGTACTTTCTTATTTAAGTAAAAAGAATATCCCAGAAGGTTTATTCAAACTAACAAATGGGGACCTAGCAAATGATTACATTTGTATGAAAGACTTTGTATTGGTCAATAGTAAAGTGAACTGTATATCTTGCTTTTGAGCCTCTCACTTGTTTGTTTTTTTTTTCCCTCCTTTCTTTTGCAAGTGGAACAGTCATGGCTATGACATTGCTAAAATATTTGGAAACAAATTTACACTAATCTCACCAGTCTGGTTACAAGTGAAAAGGAGAGGGAAGGAAAGGTTCCAGTTCACTGGACTCCATGATGCTGATAAAGGTGTTAACTTTATTTTTCTTTGAATATGCATTGCAAGTAAGGTTACTGGTCTTGTTGCAGAGTAGGTAGCTTTGGCAATATGTTAATGTGGGGTTTTCTGGTTCTGCCTCATAGTGAAGTACTTCCATCCATTCAATTATTTGAGGGAGTTTTCTTTAGAGTGAACTCCTTTCAGTCTCCATTGGCTTCCACATGCATACATAGCTTATCAGTTCAAAGAATGAACAGAAAGATTGGCTTTTCCACCAGGCTGTCTACAGAGCCCCTCCTAAAAAAAAAAATAAAAGGAAGGGACAAAGAATCTGTAGAGGCAGAAATAGTCTGGTATTTGCACTGTGCAGTTGTTTACCTGTTGTGTGGTTCCCCCCCACCTTTGCAAAAACCTTTGGGTGAGTTTGTTTTGGGAATGGAAGATAATTTTAATCTGAAGAGGTTTTTTTTTTCCTTTCAAGAAACTGGTGGCAAGTTCACATTTCAGCTAGTATGTTCTTAAAATAATAACTAAATAGTTTATGGTTTTGAACTCGACTGAATAGGGAATCTCATTTGAAACAGCTACTGTGTTGGTGTCTACTAACAAATTCTTTGTAGTGCAGTGACTGCCAAGAGGAGTGGATGGGACACTTATAAGTACAATCTAAAAAAAAAAAAAAAAAAAAAAGAAAATTCCTCCCAGGTGATGCTTAGTGACTACGTAAGTGTTGTTCTAACTAAGTAGGCAGTAAGATAGTTTCCATCATGAGGCAGAACTATGAGCAGCATGAGAGGGCTTGGGTAGGCACTACTGTAAAATTGCCGTGAATGCTAGTTGTGCTGTGGTGGAGGCGAATACCTTCAAATTCTGTGTGTCAGAGGATGTTTCGTTTGTGTTGGTTATGAGCTAGTAGTCTGGCACAAAGATATAATGAACTAGGCTACATTATTTGAAGAATGCTTGAAAATATGTTGTCATTGTCAACATCATTCATATTTTAACAGTTGTTCTCTTGATACCGTTTGACAGGTTGGATGAAAGATGTCAGAAAAAACTCCAAAAACATCAAAATTGGTGAGCCTTTGTATTATTTTGGTTTTTGTTGTTTTTTTTTTTACCATCTTTAACTGCTAGCTGAGCAAAAGAAGGCTTTGCTGCGGATGTGTATGGGAGAAAGGGAGGTTACCTTAGCATAGCTGTATGAAGGAAAATGTATGAGAAGAAAAATAAAAGCAGTTAAAAATAGATAGTTAAGTAACTGAAGTGTTAATCCTGTTGGTGCCCTAATGTTTTGCCGTAACTGCTTGTTTCTGGACAAACCCTGGGTCACAGGGCCTCCTTGTAGGGGCAGTTTGTATTTAACACTACGTGTATACAATAGTACTGGGAGGGCAGTCTACAAACTTGTTGCTCAGTTAAAAAAAAAATCCAACTCTGAGTCAGTTAGACTTTCTTGCATGATAGTTGAAAAGTCCTCCTTTACCTCTTCTCCCCTTGAAGCTGGGAACTCGAGGGATGTGCCATGGTGCGTGTCTTTAGGGAAAATATCAAATATTTCTGTAGAGAGAATTCTGTGGAATTGCAAACCCCTTCTTAATTCAGAATGGAGTATGAAACTGAAATGCATTAGAAAAATTGAATGCTCAGTCAGATATTTGAAATCAGCTGCCAAATGATAAATCTTTAAATCTCTTCTAAAATACACTTCTGCATCCTTGGTAGTTACAGAGGGCTTAAACATAACTCTCTGTGAGTTGTTGGCTTTTCTAGCGTGCATGATTATCATATGTTTCGACAGCAGTTTTCCTGACTCTTGTCTGACTGTTTTGAATGTTTTGGTTTGCTAGAAAAAGAAATTACATGAGCTCAAGTCCCTGTGTTTTCCAAAATAAAAATTTGTCACAGGGTCTTTAGTAGAAGAATGTACCAGGTTGCGTACAAAAGAATAAATTAGAATTTGAGGTGAACTTTTCTTGTTCTCGTGATAGAATAGATGCACAACTTGCAGAAAGACTGCTGCTTCATGTTGGTGGTATTTTAAGACTTTACGTGGGGCTCAGTTAAGATCATAAACTCAAGTAGTAGAATCAAATAGTTCAATCAAGTGAAGGTATCTTTTCTTAAAACTTGCATCACTGCTGACCTTTAACTAAACATAAAATGAAGAAGAATGTTCTACAGTGTCAATTTATCTGTGCTGCTGAAGTTGGTCAAAGAGCAATGATCTTAATTATGGAATGTGTTGTTTAGTGGCATCTCTGCTTGTATCTGCTGTCTTCAGTTTCTGCAGAAATATTCCAGCGTAGATAATAAATTATTCATTTTCACTACTGATTGACAACTTTACTTGATAGTGCCTCGCATTTTGTTTGATGGCTGGACTTACCAGGACTTCGAAAGTGTTTTTGGCAGTGAGGATGAGATAGAGGAGCTTTCCAAGAGTATGGTTCTGCTAGCCAAGGTAAAAAGACTTTTCGAAAATGCTTATAAAAGAGTGCGAGATTATTTGATGCCTTTTGAGTGGGTGTTTTCTCATTTTTAGAAAATATGCTCAAAACAATAACGCAGGAGGATTCTTAGTGATGTGTCCTAGTATGTACCCAGTTCCTATAGATACGAGGTATTTATACGCTTAAGTGAAGTTAACTACAAGTCTAAAGTGAGATTGTGCAAGTCTGATCAACATAACCTTGTTATGTTATCGTTGGCAACTGCACAGGTGACTTTTGCCTGCTGTGAGTGATGATTGATAAAACTTGTTCCAAACAGCTGTCAGACTGAGCGTTACTGGGGTAGTAGTGGATACCTGATAAGCATCTCATGGAGATTGCCTAGTGAGCAGACTGCTTTCTTTTAGGTTTCTATTAAAAAATAAATCATATTACACAGGGGTTAAAACTAGTTAGTAGCATTTTTTGATAAGCAGAAAAAGGGCCATGAGTGTAATGAGTGCTATTTTCTGTGTGACGGGAGTACATTTGGGCTCAGTGTGACAGAGCTGATGAGCCACTTTTACTAGCAACAATAACTCACTGGATGTCTGTTACTGTACAATTTTGCTAAGGTCTGATAAACCAGTTTGCTTAAAATATTAAGAGGTTGGAGAGAGGAGAAGAGAATTTCCTTTGAGGAATGGTTACTAAGATTTTTCTGTGCAGCCCCTTACCTCATAGCTTTAGAGCTATGCATGTGTGGGACTAAAGTTACACCAAAAGACATTCACCTTTATTGGTTTATTCATGACAGTCTGCTTCATTACTGTCAGAGTAAGTTTTCTCACTTGCTACACGATGTAAAGAAATCTTACTGTACTCTAGAGGAAGATGGATGTAGAGGTAATTGAATAGTTCGTTAAAACTTGTAACTGATACATCAGTTCTAGGTCCTTGGTAAGGGTTGGCCCCTTAAGGAAAGGGTACTTAAGTTGGCAATATCCTTGATCATGCCAAACATAAATAATCACAAGTGAGATTAATTGTGGGAAATGTTTGGAATCATACCTATGCCAAGTTAGCATTTACATTTTTAGACACAAGAGCTCATGAGTTTTTTGCCAATATACATGTAAATGTGTGTTAAATGATTTGCTTAACAACCATCGCTCATTAATGACCGAATTTTCCCAATCTGATATTGGTTTATCCTGTAAGAGTGGAAGTCATGGGTTAACTAATAGAGGTCTTCAACTTTTGCATGTTTGTTAAATAATTTATGCTTCTTTTTGACTTTTTCATGACATGGATTAAAGACAAAGCTGGTGTAGGAATACAAAGCATGTTCAATCTGTAACAGTATGAGAAGTACTACAGTAATTGTGTGCTTTGATACCGTATTATAATCTCTGATAAAAGCACAATGAATAAGCATGGTGATTAATTTATGTTGTTGTTGTTGATTCCCTTTACTTAGAATGAAAATTTTGATGGTTTTGTGGTTGAAGTTTGGAGTCAGCTGGGAAATCAAAAACAGACGTGAGTATAAGTCTGTAGGATGCAATCCCTAAAAATTGGCTTTTTTAAAGTATCTTTTTAATTTGTCCATATTGATTTGAATTTTTCATTATAAATAAATATACTTCATTCTACGACAACTAAAGTTTGTTCCATTTATCTTAGAATGAAGTAGAAGATTCTACTTCACTCTACATGAATGCAAAGATTACACAGTAATCTTCACAGCAGACCTAGCAGACCACATTAGCCTTTCATGCTTGAGTTCTGCAAGGTGTTACTGTTGTGCAAGGGTGAAGAGGGTACCTCACTGTATGCTTACTCATGTTGACGCAAGCCTGTATTATGACATTGACTGGTTTCGGTTGCTTCATGAAGCTTGCAAATGGGGGATGCTTTAAAGACCACCAAATTTGAGCTGATTAGGAAACTTTCCAAGCCTTTTTATAGAGATCTTTTAGACATACTGAAACTAAAACCAAAATCCCCAACAAGAAGTAAATCTAGGGAGAAACTGGCTTTGGTTTTTTGCAGGCACGGTATATATAAGGTCTGTATTTTAGAGTACTTAATCTACCTTTTAGTAGCTATGCTAAGAAGTTTCAGTGAGTCTGCATTTATTGGAGCTGCTAAAACTAAAGGGCATATCCATATTAAGCTGTTGCCTGACATACTGGTTTCCTTGAGCAAAAGCCCCTTGGCTGTCTTAACACCTGGGACAAGATTCAAGGTAAGGCAATCTCCAAACTGCTGCTTCAGGAGGAAAAGGCAGAATGTGTGTTGAAATGAATGATTCAGTGCAGTAATCTGGCAGTTTTGTGTTATTTCCCTCAGGAAATTCAGGCATCCATTCCCTAAAGTACGCATTCCTACCAGCTCTCTATTGCCTAAAATATCTGGGGAAGACCAGATTAGAAGAAAGCTTCACAGAATGCAGACTTTATTATTGAAGACTTTAATCTTTTAAAAATGGTTACTTCAGGTTATTCTCTTCAAGGCAAATGCTACTGACTGGCACATAATAGTTATTACTGGAACTGAGTGTGCTATTAAGAGAGTCCTGCCATTTCCCTAGAAAATCAACACTTGGGAGCAAAGAATTGAAACTGCAGCATCTTTGTAGCTTTGACAGGGGATCTACCATTTGTACTGGAACAGATAATTCTTAAACTAGATGTTCTTGCTCACAATTATGTAAGTTGCCAGGTTGTTCTTAAGAATTAATCTCTATACTGAGCTCTGAATCTATTGCAATAAGACAGCCAACAAGGTGATTTAAGCAATTAGTAGCTGCCAGTCAGAAGTTGGGTGTAGTGGTCAGTTTATGTATTGTGTTTCCTGTATTTCAGTAAAATAGATGCTTTTCTTATTAGTTAGCTTACATGAATGTAAGACAGACTATATTACTGTAATTTTACAATTCACTGAAGACCAACTTAAGCATACTGGCATCAAAGTTCTGTATTGCGAATGACACACATGAACAAAACATACTTTTTTTTATTAGCTCCTTGGGTAAGTTTACTTGTGACATGGTAAAAATGCTACTCTTTGCCAGAAGTAATGCTGGTTCAAAACAGCATTGCTTGTCCTATTTAGTGTCCTAATAACTGTTTGTCTTAGGGGAGGTACTGCTTTGTAGTTGCTCTAGCCTTTAGTAGCCAATTGTTATTTAGGTGAAGTACAGAAGCACTGCTTACATACTGGCTGTCTATCTGTTAGTGATAAACAGGAGTGGGAAGTATTTTTCTTCAGAGAAGGGTCATACTTGTAGAGTAGAATGCTAACTGCCTTCTTTGCTACAAGTCAGCAGTGTTTGATCATATGTGTTCACCTGTGAATAATGATTTAGGGTCACCCCAACAAAAAAAGTGGAAGATGGTATTTGATATAAAAACATGAATAGAAACAAAAGATATGAACTGCAGATTTTCTTCCTCTTCAAGACCAGATTGGATTTAAGTGCTTTATTGTAAACTCATCTGTGGTTTTTTTCCTTCCTTTATTGCCACTTCCCTAGAAATAGTTAAGGTGCTTAAGTTGAAAAATACTTTGTGTTGGGCTTACCTCCTCAGAGACAAAGATTCTGACTAAGGCTTATTTAGGAAGCAAGCTGAAGCTAGCTTGTGTGTGGAACAACAGTTCTGTTAATGTAGAAGCGCATCATTATTTTAAAATTTTGCTTTGTGATGCTTGTAAGGTATGAGACCAGTGTCTTCATAATGAGATTGTCATTTTGTCTATCACTTGCTCAAAAACTGGATGGCTTGGGTATCCAGTGCCCCAGAGGTTTTCCCTATCAATATTGTTTTGAGTGAACATGTGCTTTGAACAGATCTTGACAGATAGAATAAAGTGAACTGGGAACGTTGTCAAGCCTGTATTTTTATTGCCCACTGAGTGATGTTACTTTAGGAGCTGCTAATTTCCTTTTGAATAGCAGAGCAGAGTTATTCCTGTTAAATGGATAAGCATAGATGGTCCTTTGCTTCCCTTGCTCCTCCCAGAAAAGTGGAGCAGCGCATGACCTCTTCAGCCCAGAGAGTGGCAGTATTGTAACATGCCTCATCTTCCTTGTCAGATTATTTCTAAGGTGACAATCAGTAGTAAAGCATGTTTTTAACTTTGGAAGGGTGGGGATCGGTTGACGCGTAGGTGTCAAGACAGAGATGACCCCTGATTCTTTGGAGATGTGAAGTTTTTGTAGAACAGCCATCGTGTATGCTCCATCTAAAGCATCTGTATCAACTATTAGGTACATAGTATAGGCTTTCCTGACTCGGATCCTTGAAGGTCAAACAGCTGAAAGTAGCTTAATGTACTCCTAGATAAAGGAACAGAAGATATAATGATGCTCCTAGGAACACATGCAAATTACTTTCAGAGCTGTCTGGCAATACAAGGAGGCCAGCCTAGCTAACACAATTGATTCCCGTCTTTTAGTATGAATATGTCTTAGTTTAAAAAGAAAATTAAAAATCAGTTGGTTTTTTTTATTATTATTTTCTGAAATACAAGTAGTCGTTTCACATAGCAGTTAGCAGCATTTAATGACATTCAGTGTGGGTGCGTAAAAACATCTGGGGCTATGCTACAGCTGGCAGCTTGCCTTAGGAAATGATAGAGCTGTGGTGTAGATCTTAAGTAAAAAAATATTTTACTTAAAATCATTAAGGCTTTCCAAAATGTAAGTGGATGCCTAGCTGTTAAATTAATAAATAATAAAATGGTATTCTATTATTTGAATTATTCTTTGTATCTGTGTTGAGGGGAAAGCTGTGGAGATGATTCCTGTTAATTTTTTAATGATGTTATGGAAAAGATCCGTGATCCCATTCAGTGCATTACCTTAGTGGTGCAGCAACACTTAATACAGCACAATTTTCTTTATCAGACTTACAATGGCTAGAGAGAGGGATTTGCGTAAAGAACATTTATGTTTGATGTAACATTTCAACTAAGAAATCAGCATCCACTCTCTAAAGACAATGTGTAGTGATACTTCTTAGCAGAGTGCATCAGTATTTCTTGAGTCAGGTGAGTTTGCAGAGGAGTCTGAAAAGCTGCAAATTAGTGTCTGAACTCACTAAGAAATTGGGTTATGATTTAAATACCACTTCATATATCAGAAAGATGGATTAATTGCAGCTGAAGCTCCCGTCTCAGTAGACCTCAGCTGAGCAAGTGTCCCCATGAGATACCTTTTTGAATAGCTCACCACGGATTTTGGTTGGACTGAGTTGGCATGAGGACATTTTCATAACACATGCTCTCCCCATTGTCTTGATGTTGGGGCTTGAAACACTGCGTAGCCTAAAGGCGTTGTAACAAATTTTGTAAGAATCTCCACATAACAGGATAACAGTGTTAGCTCTGTGCAAGGCTTCTTTAAACCCACAAATCCTGTAACTAACTGCTTTAAGAACCTGTCAGAACATTTTTAAGATGGGGCAAATTTAAGTACTTCTGCTAGCCGTTTATGTATTTCTGGGAAAATCTTGATTTTTTGGGGGGCTACTCCAACATTAGAAATTAATGAAAAGTCTTCATGCAAGGTCTAAGGAGTTATCTAAAGAGCCTTCAGTTTCCTGTTTATCCTAGCTGGAATTACAGGTGAGATGAAATGTTGCTAAGAAGTTATGTTGCTGGCATCCACCGAGACGTTCAGTTCTGTGGTTTCAGGCTCACTATGTATCTTCTGGTTTACATCATTTTAAGCAGAACTAACTTAATCTGTGTGTGGAAAATAAACTTCGTTTGTTTTCAGAAACAAAAAAAAATCCTAATCATTCTGTTTTGGGATTAGATTTGCTCTGTAATGCATGGTAAAGTCTTAGATTATATCAATCCTTTATGCTGTCTTTATTTTATTTTTTTCCTATTCATTTAAATGATGGTTTTACCAACAGTGTAAGTTTTATATAAGAAAACTATATCCCTAAATATAGCTGTCAGGTCTCCAGAGATGTACATGGCAGAAATAGCCTTTTTTTTGGTCATCATGTGCTGTAGGCTCTTGGTATCATGCAGAAGGTGACCTTCAGACATCTTATCATTGATAGGAGTGTAGGCACAAAATGCTCTTCTGGCAGTTCTATCCTTCATTTTAGTCCTTGAAAAATTAATCTATTAATCAAAGTTTTGCCATAATTCACTCTAGTTTCTTGGTATTAACTAGGCAGTGAAATGGTGCCAGAGGGCAATTTCTTCTTGAAGCAGACAGCTTTATTCTGTCCAATTTTCTTGATAAGACATAAATTTTAGGGAGTACTGACTACTAGCTTGTGCAGAAAATGTGGCTGAAGTTGGAAAGTTGCAGAATTCTGAAGGGTCACACAACTGAAGGCAAGGTTATAACAGTCCTATGTATCATCTGCAAGGCTTTTCAAATACAGCCCAGTCCAGTCTTACGCACTGAAGTAAACTGTACTACAAAGTGTCCCCAACACAATAGACCAGCAATGCCAGAAAAGGGGAGTTCTGAAAAAAAAAGCTTCCTGCAATCTTTGGGTGATGAAAATTTGGAGGTCTGCATACTTCACAGCATACTTTGAAATCATGAAGACTTGGAAAACTGACCTACCAAATGGTAGTTATGATAGAAGGCCTAAAATAGTAAGAATGAAATAGACCTTAATTAGCTCAAGATAGAGTCTTAAAGGTGCCAGTGTTTTAGCAGCTACTCTGAAGTTAAATTTGACAACAGTGAAGTCTCTGGTAAATATTTAATGAAGCCTTTTCAGGAAGATTGATTCTATTCCCACTTTCCTGCACCTCGTTATAATGTTTAAAATGTCAGTAACTTTTCTTGCAAAATTACTAGTGGTAATACAGCAGCATATTGTGTTTAAAATACTGGAAAACACTGGACATAGTAAAGTTTTATAGCACAATAAATGAGCATTCTGCTATTGCCATTTGGGGGTGAGGCAAAGGGTGCACATTTTATTTATATAAGCTGTCTTGGCTGACAAATGGAAAAGAGCCAAAATTAAGTGATTTAGGTGATTCTCCTCTTCTATTCTGCTCTTATGAGACTCCAGCTTGAGTACTGCATGCAGCTCTGGGGTCACCATTATAAGAAGGACATGGACCTCTTGGAGCAAGTCCAGAGGAGCACCACAAAATTGATCAGAGGGCTGGAGCACCTCTCCTATGAAGACAGGCTGAGGGAGGTCAGGGTTGTTCAGCCTAGAGAAGAGAAGGTTCCAGGGAGACTTTATAGCAGCCCTCCAGTACCTGAAAGGGGCCTACACAAAAGCTGGAGAGGGACTTTCTACAAGGCCGTGTAATGATAGGAAAAGCAGTACTGACTTTAAACGAAAGAGTGTAGATTTAGATTAGATGTAAGGAGAGGTTCTTTACGCTAGAAGCAGGTGGCCCAGAGAAGCTGTGGCTGCCCCATCCCAGGAAGTGCAAAGATGATTTCAGAGGAATAGGATGGTAGTACTTTGAAAGGCATGACAGTACCAGAAGTTTTTTCTGAGAGCTCAGGTCTGTATCCTGCCTTTCCTGCTTTAACATTTTTAAACTACTGGAATGGGTCGTGAAGTTACTTTCTACTCAGTTCAGGTTTAAGTATAGTCCTGAACATATCTAGAGTTCTGTGCTAATATCATCTGTCTGACTGCCTTCATGGATCCACCCTGCCAGTGGGTAAATATGAAAGTTGACTTTGCTCTGAAGAATCAAGTGATTTAAGGCAGGCATACAGCAGGGCCATATTTATAGTGCAAATTTAAGGTGATGTTGGACTCCTCTTAAGATAACAGTAGCTATTAAACCTTTTTTTTTTCTGCAGTCTGTCTCTGGAGGATTTTCTATTAACATCACCATTCAAATAAGGAAGACTGAAAACAGTTTATGTGAGAATTTTGGAGGTTATTTCCCTATTGAAGTGTTTAGAATTTGGATATGAAAATCAGCTTTTCTGAAAATCTTAAAATTAGGCATATGGAAGGTGAGACTTCCAGATAGTCTCACATGAGAACATGGGCTGGCAGTGTGCGCTTGCAGCCCAGAAACCCAACCGTATCCTGGGCTGCATCAAAAGAAGTGTGACCAGCAGGTCGAAGGAGGTGATCCTGCCCCTCTACTCTGCTCTCGTGAGACCTCACTTGGAGTACTGTGTGCAGTTCTGGTGTCCTCAACATAAAAAGGACATGGAACTGTGGGAACAAGTCCAGAGAAGGGCCACGAGGATGATCAGGGGACTGGAGCACCTCCTGTATGAAGATAGGCTGAGGAAGTTGGGGCTGTTCAGCCTGGAGAAGAGAAGGCTGCGTGGAGACCTCATAGCAACCTTCCAGTATTTGAAGGGGAGCTATAAGGATGCTGGGGAGGGACTCTTCACTAGGGACTGTAGTGACAGGACAAGGGGTAACGGGTTAAAACTTAAACAGGGGAAGTTTAGATTGGATATAAGAAGGAAATTCTTTACTGTTAGGGTGGTGAGGCACTGAAATGGGTTGCCCAGGGAGGTTGTGAATGCTCCATCCCTGGCAGTGTTCAAGACCAGGTTGGACGAGGCCTTGGGTGATATGATTTAGTGTGAGGTGTCCCTGCCCATGGCAGGGGGTTGAAACTAGATGATCTTAAGGTACTTTCCAACCCTAACTATTCTATGATTCTGTGATTCTATGATAGGACATTGTCAAACATCTATTTTGTAGCTATCCAGTAATGTATTATTTATACAGGCAAAAGCCAGCAGCAGCAATGTTTCTATACACAGTGCTTGGAAATACCCCTTGAAGATAGCATATATTGCTGTGAAAGTGTCTTTACAGATTCTCAGACCTCATGTGCAGTAACATGTTGGCAACTTGAATCTATTCCATAGCCGCTTGTTTCAGACCAGTGTTTTATTCTTCTATTGATCTAATTCTTTTTACTGAATATGATCTCAAGAGGTGACCCGCTCTGATAAGGTATGCTAATTTTACTTGCTAACACTGCGTACTTAGATTAGAATAAAACTAGAAAACTTTTTAGCCCCAAGCTAATCACAAGTTGCAGTAAAACTTTGTGTCCAGCAGTTCAGTGTTCTTAGTCCTTAAAGAGAGTAAGCGTCTGATCAGTCTTCCTAAATTTTTTTCTGCTGTGATCATTCATTACAAATTGTTTCTCTTGCCAGCTGCATCTTTTCAATTATTTCTACTGTTACTTGCTACCTTGCCCTTGCCAATATATAGCACTAGTTCGACTGCCTTTCCTTCTTACTAATATATTCTATTTCAGGGAGTTGATACACTTGCTCATTCACCTTTCCGAGGCTCTGCATGAAGCTCATCTTAAACTCATACTGGTCATCCCTCCTGCAGTTGCAGCAGGGTGAGTATTTCTATTAAGATGTCAGATGCCAGGTGAGGAATACTTTCTTGTCTCATATATAATAAATTTAAAGCTTTGTTTATAGCTGTGCAGCTTAAATGAGTAAGAAATTACTTTAGTTTGATCTTCATGCGTGTTGCACTGAATAGTCTTATTAACTACATGCATTAATTCATACCTGAAAACTTTTGATGTCAAGATAACTTGCAGAGGGACCTCCTATTGTGGTGTTAACCCAAAATGTCTGCTTAGAACTTTCAGGAGAAGGAGCAGCAGTAGTGGAGCTTAATGACTTGTTGCCAAGGTGTGAAAAGGGTGTCATAAAGGTAGCATATAAAAGAACTTTCTGAGTCTCTGGGCACAATTTCAGTTATGACAGGTAATAGTTACTCTTTAAGTAGGAAAAACAGAGCTATAGGAAGGAATTTATCTATCTATATATCTCTACATATTTTATATATAATTGTATGTTCAGAAAATGCATTTAGTAAGAAAAGAATGTTTAGAATTGTTACGGTTTCTGTTATTTGTGCAGTGATTTGAATCTGATGGATGTACTGGTTTATATGCTCTTCTGGCTCAACAGCAGTAGGCAGTTCTTACCTTTCAGTGTTTGTAACAGAGAAATATTTACTTCCTAAGATTGTATTTGTCTAAAAAGTAAAACCGATGTGGAAAATTAGTGTGTACTTTCATTAGATGTGGAAGGAATGTGAATCCTCTTTAAACTCCTACATTTTTAGGAAAAGATTGTATTTTGTCTTTAAGTGATGTATTGTAAAAATGAAAAATCACAGTTTTTCTCTAGTTTTTCTGTGGAATGAAAAAAAAAATCACACTCCAATATTTTTCTATTTCAGGGAGATAGTGTCTAGTACTTCAGGGTTTTGTATGATCAGTCAGCAAGTACATCTGTGTAAGAGTGAGCAGATACAACTAACTACAAGAATGGAAGGTGTTTCAGTATTCCAGCACAGTGGTGTGACTTCATTATGGAAATGTTGATGATGCCAGTGCTTTACAGCTTTATTAGCAAGAGTGTCACCAGTATCTATCTGCCATTTAGATAACATATGGTCATATTTGGATGCCCTTCCAGGTCAAAAGATGCATGGTATTCTTGCACTGTAATCATAGCTACCTGTTGTGTTGCCTTATGGAGAAGTGTTTATGGTATACAATAGTGCTACAAAGATATACAAGGAATACATTATGTCTTTCAGAAAATTGTGTTAATAAGGGCTTATCTTATTCCCAAAACTACTAGGTTTTGAATCTCTGTATTCCACTCTCCCCTTTACTTGCTTCTCAAAGCTAGTGAGTGTCCCTGTTACACTGTGGATAGGCCAAATGTTAGTTATGCATACGTCATGGAGGATTGACTTTTACTTCTAGTTTGAAGCTCCAAATCCCTGTCATTTTTTTTTTAAGAGCTTTGGTGGGGGCTGTTGTCATGTGGGACTGCAGAATAATTGAAACATAACCTGTTGTAGAGGATTACATAGACAAAACAGTCTTCACGAGGGGGCAGAGCAGTTGACGTCATCTACCTGGACTTGTGCAAAACGTTCAACACTGTCCTGCCCGACATCCTTGTTTCTGAATTGGAGAGATGTCAATTTGATAGATGGACCACTCGGTGGATAAGGAACTGGCTGGATGGCCGCTCACAAAGAGTTGTGGTCAATGGTTCAATGTCCAGCTGGAGTCTAGGAACGAGTGGTGTCCTTCAGGAGTCAGTATTGGGACCGGTCTTGTTCAATGCTGACGGTGAGGAGAAGCAAGACACGCCAACCCAATATGGGTGATAAGCAAGCTTCTACTTTATTTGTGTTGCACATCGCTTATATCCTCGTGGTGTTAATTACGCCTGCTAGTCACAACAGCATTGGTTAGTTCTAAACAGTTTACATTTACATTCTCCTCCCACATCCGGTTTCCGGTTACATGTGAGGCCTACACTTTGCTTTGCTCGCACAAGGCCTCTAAGGATCCATGGCCTTGCTCTTGGAGCCATTCTGCAGCAATTCCCCCTTTTTTCTTTTGTGCGAGTAAAACATTGTTGGTCATTCTGTTCACTTGTTTCATTAAACAACCGTAAGTCTAACAACTATAATGATTAAAATAACAATGATACATAAGCGCAATCCTTCAAATAGCAGTGTTTTAAGCCAACCTGTAATGCCCCATGAGGACAACCATTTAGTTATCCCTAGGTCATTGCTCACTTGCAATTGCTGGGTAAGCTGGGTCAGGGTTTTCAGCTGTGCGTGTATCGAATTAGAATGATCAGAAAGATTCATACAACACATTCCATCAAACTCTTCACATCCATGTCCCTGTGCCAACAACAAAAAGTCTATAGTGGCTCTGTTCTGTAGTGTTGCATGTCTCACAGAGTCAACATCAAACAACAAATCAGAAATTGCCTTCGATGTAGCATTTGTTTGTTTAGCAAGCCAGCAGCCTAGCTTGTTTAACTGAGCCAAGGCTCCGGCCGAAGCACTTACAGTGATTTGGCATATTATGATTGGATGCATGTCTTGAAGACCCTTAGTGACTAGTATATAATTGGTTAAACACAGGTGTGAGAACTCAATCTTGAAAGCTTGCCAACAGTCCACAGTTCTCATTAACTTGGTGAATTCCAGCCTCTTATCTTGCTTGCTTAAGCTTCTTCAGGCCTCTCATGGCCTTGCTGTATCTTTCAGGATTATTCAGAGTTTATGTACCAATTATCCATTCTCCCATGAAAACACTGTCTCCACATCTCCCCCCTTTTGTTTTATATCCAGTAACAAGTCGCTACTACAGCAAGGCACACACAAATTTACATTAGCAGAGTAACTATTACAGGGTACAGCAGCATGTTGAAGATGCTGGTGGTAGCGAGGGACTAGCCAAAGAAATTTCTTACCAGTGGAATTCTCCCACCCTCTTAATTTGTTCCATCACCTGCTTTATAACACTACCATTGTATTAAAATCTTTCTAGCTTTTGCCTTAGCATTTTCTAGCAGCTACTGCAAATATCCATACTCTAACATCTCTTTTACAAGTGACAAATCTATACAATACAAGGTGCAGTTTCTTATTAGCAACTAGCTAGTAAATACAGGTGGGTTTATACACAAAATTACAGCCTCTAATAATAGCTACTTTACAAGCACACATATTCAGGATGTTACTTTTCAGTTGCCCCCAAGTGATGTTTTGCAATCATTCGTTTTTCTCTTCCTCTATCTCATTCTGCTTGGGGTATTCACGGTCAGCTCCTGTAGCTGAGGCATCAGGTTTTTCCATTTGTCTGTCCAGCTCATGGCAAGGCTTGACAAACTTTGCAGGCAGTCGCCATGGACCTGTAGGCAGGAGGACACAAATATGCCCCCTCCCCCAGGTTATCAGTTCTTGAGAAGTAGACAGGTTAAACAGGTTAAATGCAGCATCATTACTCTCTCTCTCCCCCCCCTTCCTTTTTTTTTTTTTTTTTGTCCCTGCAAAAGCCTGCCTGCTCAGCAGCAGCTACAGCCGCCAGCCTGCTTCAGCAGCAACTATACCTGCCGGCAGCCGCACTTTTACATTAACCCTTTCATGCCCGAAATGTTAAACAGCTACCCGTTGAAACTTTTACATGAACCCAACAATACACAAAACACCGATTGTCCTCAACACACACACACACGTGTGGGATCCCACAAGCACACTCCACACAAGTACAGTATTTGAAACACAAAAAGACAATTATTACTCCCACTACACAGTCCCACGTACAGAACGTGGCATAAGGACCCTGTGGAGACTAATAGAAAAACAGCTCCAAGAAGCATCATTGCAGTGCGAGGTGGCAGGCTCATCCTTAGCAGGCGTCCCCGCAGAGGCTCTGCCTCCCCCACATCGCATGAGGCTTGGGCTTTTATACTGACCAAAATGCACACTCATTCCAACACAGGTGGCCAGCAATATCTATAAAGGTCTCCAAAGGTCGATAGAAATCTGGACATACTTATATTTACCAACATATACAGCTTGAGTATAAGAGGATTTTAACCCATACGTGGTCACTGCTTGTCAGGCCTCCTTAACTATTTTGAGATCAAAAGCTTCCCACTCTTTAGCCCCCTGCTGTGTAGTAAACACAGGATATGCAGAGAGGCCCATTGCAGAAAATTCACCAGTAATAATCTCATCTTTGATTAACCCATGCCAACAGTGTGCAGGATTTGTGCCCCCCGATACCTCTCCCACCCCCTCCCCCTGTTTGCCTTCTTTAAGGAAGGGGTTTTACGGAGGATAAGGTGGAGGCGCCGATGGAGATGTCTCAATCCCAGTCTTGAGGGCTTCAAGCTTTTTCATCAGTTGTTGCAGCTGAGCATCTCCAGGGCCAGTGAGTAGTTGCTGATGAGCTGAGCAGACCGACCCGGGAGACGAAGAGTCAGAGTCTGGAAGCAGAGGATATAAATCTGGCTCGGATTCAGGGGACTTGGAGTCTGATCCTGGGTCGAACTCAGGGTCTCCATTGTTTGCAGCTATGTCTTTCTTGTCAGGTGTCTCTCATTTGGTATGTGGCCATCTGTGGACCTGGCTCTTGCTTTTATCGGCTCCCCAATCAATCCAGTGCCGAGGCAGCACCCTCTTCCTTTCACCTTCCCCGACATTCATCGCACCTATCCCTTCTATTAGACTTTCTCTGTCCTTTTCAAAATCCCTACGTTTGGAATCCCTCTGCTTTTCGGAACTCAACTGCGGTGGCGGGGGAGCAGAGAGTTGCACCTCCTCCACTGCACCTTCTGATGAAGAAGGAGGGGGGGAAAAACCCCATGCTCCAAGCACAGGGAGCGCCCCAAGAGTTGGGGGAAACGAGTTGTAATCTTCCCCCGGCTTCAACCAACTGGGGACGTCTGTTCCTAGTTTCTCCGTTGCTACAGCGGCAATTTTCTTCTCCGCCTTGTATCTTTTTATACAATTTATTACTTCTCTCCATGGCTTACCGAGTTTCTTTGC